GAGTACTCGATATATGCTGATACATGCACGCTTGGTATACAAATGAGTTTGTGGTCGAATGAATGAGTACAAATTGCCCAGGTCCTGTGGTTGTTTAAAGAGAAAAAAGAGGTGGTTTTGTATTAAGATAAGGCAAGTGTACAGGCAGTATACCAATCATGTCAATGTTGTGAATGGAGAAGATTGCATTTAGCCATATAAGGTCTAAATGTATCCTAAGAATAACTTCTAGTATTACTATTAGTACTTTGTAGTACTACTACTTACCGTCCTTCTCAGACAAGAAGATTATCTTTGATGGTGGCTCAGTTTTCTATCACATTACATCAATGTTTATGTCTAGCTTAATTTTCCCATTTTCTGCTGCAACAGTGGATGTTTTTATTTGCAGGCGTTTCAGTTTCCCCTTGCTTAGTTCCTTGCATGCAAAGCTCTTTACAATATTGTGTTAATTGTTCACAGATGTTGCTGTGCAATCCATGTCTAATGTAAAATGCTGAAATTTAAATTTGATTGTTCTGCTTTATGGAAAAATAATTCATGCAAAGATTGGTCTTAAAGGTGATACATAGGTTCAATAAGCACCACACCGAGACACATTATTGTACTGTTGACCTTATTGCAGCACAAGACAAAAAGTGTGCTACTCCTCCACACAGCGACATTTCTAGCAATGGAAAGTGATGTGTAGTTGATGTATTTACTAAAGAGGATTTATTGGAATCCACAAATTAATAACTGACAGATTAGAGTAAGCAGTTGTCTCGTTGTGCCAATACCAGCCAGTCAAAAGGACTTGACATGTTAAACTATAGAAGCACTACCGGGTTCACTTTTTGGACCCCTGCATTGTAGTATATTATTTACTTTGTCTCAATTTCTTTTCCGTCTCCTGAAGCAAATCTAAGCCACCCCCCCAGATCTCACCGAGCAAGTCCAGCGGAGGAGAGTTCTGCGTGGCGGCCATCTTCGCGTCACCTCGCTCCTGGTTCATCACTAATCCCAACATAAAAAGAGAGAAAGGTAGACTGTGGTGACAGGTCGTCTTTGCATTCTTCTGCAGTTGATAGCTATTATTGCATTTATTGCAAATAATTTTTCCTCGCCTTGTTGCTCATCCTCCTCACAGATCAGTCCAGGCAGTCGGTTGTGGACTCGCTGTACGTAGTCAGTTGCTATGGTAACTTGGTGGAGCACGTCTTGGAACCTCGGCCATTAAGCACGTCACAAAAGATAAGCGACGATACACCGTTAGAACTCAACACCTGTCCAAGGGCCTGCTGGATTCTAGCCAGGTAAAGCTGTGATGAAGACTCGATGCAGGACACGGCTTCTGTGTCTCCAAGTCTTATGGATGATTTGTCCTTTTTGAGCAGGACCCCACAGTGGAATGAGCTGCAGCCACCTTTCAACTCCAACCATCCTTTGGTGTTGGCCTCAGATCTAGTGCAGTACTATCAATATCTCCTGGCTGGTAAGTGTTAAACAAGTAGTTTTCCTTGAGTTTACACACTGTAGTGTATTTACAGTATAAAGTTGTGTTCAAATAGAATGGAAGTCTGAATTTTCAGGAAGTACAAAAGGTCAAGGTGTTGTACCAACATATGCTCTGAATATAAGGTTAGCATGGTACTGATAAACAAGAGAATGGTATCACAGGGCTAAGAGCACTGAGTACTTCTACATTTCCTTGTGGCCCTTTCAGAATAAAAGTAAAGTATAGTTGAATTGTTGGGGATACCACAAAGAGAGTGCAACAAAAAGTAGCATACATTGGTACACAAATATCACATGCAGTCACTGAAAATGCAGAAGTTTTCATCAGTGTTGTACTGCTCGCAATTATGTGGATTTCTGATATATTTTTCTAAGTCTGATCTGCCAACATTACAAGCAAAAACCAACTTTTCTTTAGTGAAAAATGTTCTTTTCATAATAAAAATAATTTTAAAAACTCTGGTTCCTTGAAAGAGTCACTAATAAATACCTAAAAATGAGTTGCTGTACGCTCACCTTTATCATATTCTACCTTACCAAACAAAGTAACAGTTATGAAATGAATGGAAAACTTCTGCAATTCTGCTAAAACTTGCTTGTTTTTGAAACTTAACTACTTCCTCATACTTTCACCTAGAACAACCATTCAAAATTTAAAATGTTCACAAATTATTGGGCTATTCATGTATGATTCAGCTTTTTCATATCTTTTACCATTTTCATCTTATCCCTCTTCAAGTTTTGAGTTTCATCTTTGTGATTTTTCACAAAATACATGCGTTGTTATGGTTGCTATGCAGTTGGTTCTAAGTGAGCCACTGTACCTTTGGCAATTTTCTCTTCATGTCCGAACAACTTCTTGCTACTTGCTCAATTTTCACTCAACTTCCACAAATTATACATCAAAACGTAGGTATTTTTGCTGGCTTTCAGAAAATGTCACTATCACTGTTGTGGGATTTATAGAATGTTTGCAAATCTCCTCAGACCAACACAAAGTCTCAAAACTCTCCATAGAAAGTCAATGGAGAGTTTGTTCAAAATCACCGCTTGATTTCTGTAATGAGAGGCATATTCGAATCGTCATATCTCCTTAACGAAGCGAAGTTAAGACATGAGGCTTGTGTCAATATATCTTCAGACACTCCTGACGCTCACAATTCAAGAATTTTTTTCTCACCTATTACCGTTTCATAATTTAATAATAATTTAATAATTTTCAAACATATGAAAACAGTTATAAATGACAAAAATCAGGCAATAAAATAATTTTCCAGTATAGTTATCCCGTCGTGAGATATCAGGACATTGAGCCTTTTCTCCATCATTTTCCTCTGAACTGCTCAGATCCTTCATGTTGGCCCTGAGTCCTGGATAACTGCAGCTTTAGTCACTTTTACCTTCTTTAAAATGTCAGTGTTCACCCGGGTGAAGCGTCTCATCAGGTTTGTTGTTATGAACATGTTTCGTGGTGCTTCCCCAACACTTCACTTTGATGAACGTTGTTTGAAGAGCTCATAATCTGACACACGTCACTGGTAAGGACCAAGAATGCTGGATAGTAGCTGATTACTCCCTGACTATCAGCACGTCTCTAATTTTTATTATTATTCAAATTAAGCAATCAAAATGATTGGAGAGATCCTAACCCTCAGCCTTAACCCTAACTGTCAGACAGTTTTTTGCAAATATGAATCCACATGCACATGCGCACACATATCGTGTACACACACATATATAAATATGAAGAAACGAACAGTTCCCCAGTGCTTTTTCATGTTGACTATGTTGAAAGCAGACCATCAGCCCCTTATTGGAACCACATGCCGAGAAAGGATCTTTCTGGTCATCACCCATAATATTTTATTATTCAGATACCGGAGGGAAAGAGCTCTCTGCCATTTCCACCATTTCACGTCCTCTGAGCGCTGTCGCAAATCCTTGTAGTTTTTCTCCTCTGTGAGGAACCTTGAATTCGTCCTTAGGCAACCACACTACACGTGCGCTTGAGGACATGCCAACACAATGCTATAAGATGCCGCGCGCAGACCAATTAGCTGACACCCTAAACTCCCTCTAATTCAATAACAAGTACAGAGCGGTGAGCACTTTAGGGTGCCATCTGAAAGGCCATTTTGCAAAAGCGCAGAGTGCACATGGATGGCCACACACGGAATCAATCCACCCCCGTGGAACAGGCTGGCGTTTTGAGCTCACTCCATAATTATAAACATACAAAATCTATGATTAGCTCTTGCGGGTGCTCGGGGGCAAGTGGTAGCTATGTTTACCCTAATCTCTGTGCTCGTCTCCGTTGGCTTCTGCAGTGCTTCAGGTCTAACTGGTAGGATATTTTCTCAAATTAGTGCTAATGGTCTCTCCTAGTGTCAGAGCAATGAGAGCGCGTCGGAGTGATGGGCTCGGGCGTCAGTTTATTCCACCACTCTCTGCCAGCATGGGCAGCGGAACTGGCTGCATAATGAGAGAGATTCATTGCATTAACATTTACATCCAATTAACAATAGCCAGATAACACGGTCGTGGCTCTTTATTCCTATAACCAACCAAGTGTGAAGTCATGCGAGGTCAAGACACTATAAACATAATTGTTCAGCACTCTGCCCACTTCTTGTGCTCTTGCCATGTTCCCTCTGGTTAGCGTCGTATGCACCGCCGCCACCGACTGAGCTGCTCCCGGAGTGCCATCTTCCATTTCTGCACTTTGCACCCGGGCAGCGGCTCTCAACGTCCTATTTCTCAGCATGCGCTCCTTTTGCCAGCCCGTCTCCTTTGCCGTTTCCTCCAGGGCTTGGCAGCACGGCGAAGAAGCGATCCAGGAGAAGGGCTCGATTTGACCTCGGGATGAATTGCAGCACGGCCGTAAGCTGCCGGTGCAGCCTCTTGCTGAGTGTAAATATCGAGACATAGGAAACTGAAAACGCACATGGCTCTTGTGTTATATAGGTGTACTTTACATTGCTGATAACACGCATCACGAGGGAGAAAATAGCTGACTGGATATTAAGAAACAGGGGCAGTAAAAGATCTAAAGAAAGGGAGGGCGAGACGTCTCCGTAAATGTCCCTTTTAGCTAATTGTCCCACAGACAGACCATGTTTCTAGAAAGGTGGTGCAAGGAAAAAAGGTGGCAGCACTTGACTGACAGGCCATGGTCTCCAGTCTCGTGGCTCTGTATTGGATGACCCAGCCTGATTAAAAATGCAATATACAGGGAAAGGAATAGAAAGGGGAGAGGAAGGGCCAGGGTCAGGCCAGACCGGAGCCTCCAGGACGGGATGATAAAAGGCAGCGGTGGCGCCACTTCATGGTCACTATCTCTACCTGTCCATCTATAGCAGCTACTGGCAGCACTCAGCCAAGTAGAAGATATAACAACGCACAGCGCTGCTTACAGAGATAAGGCAGAGAGAGAGGCACAGTATACTCACAACAGATGAGATTGTGTAGCACGATCTGGCTTAATAAAAGCAGACTTGTTGTTGGTGTTTGGGGAATCCTCTCGCAGCGAAGTGGAAACATAGAATCTCTGTTTCCCAAAAAGTGCTCATTTGGGTGAGTGTGTGAATAGGCCCTTTTTCCTTTTGGTCTAAGGTGTCGGAGAGGGGTAACAGAATAACCGAACCAATGAATGCGAAGTGTTTGCAGCCTCATTAACTACATCCAGTTCTTCCCATTTTTTGTATTTTTTTGTGGCGTTAGCGGGAGGCTGATATTTATCTAGCTGTGCACAAAATGTTTTCCAACACCTTCCTCCCTCACCGCAAAGCCGCTCTGGTGCAAACAAACCGGTGAATAATTTACCACCTAGATTTCTGGCTGGCTCCTTTGAGCCTGGCGACAGAAATTGAGGCTATGCTTTTTGGCCACGCCCTCCCCTCCCTACCTGTCATATAATGTGCTAATTGTGGAGACTGACTGACTGGCTGGTTTGGCAGTTCTCTCGGGACTTTGAGGCCCATGACAGGCCAGCCACAGTTGCCTCGTCAATAGATCTAATTGCTTCGAGAGAGGGGCCAGAGTGAAGGCTCTGGAGCATCAGGCATTTGGTAAAGAGAAACCGTGGCGCCATGACTGGGTCAGTAATCAAAGGGAGGCAGAGAAAGGATGCAGTAAGTGTAGCGCTGGATGAATGAAGGAACTGTCAGTCAATTGCGCACTGAATGATACATAATGACTAAGCTATCCCACTCTGTCAGTGTGCCAGCACCTATCTGCCAGAGCAGTACTCAGAAGAGGAAAGCGAGAAGAGAGGAAAGTGAGAAGAAAGACAGGTGGAGAAGTTAGAAGAAGAAGCATAGTGAGTGAAGTGTCTGGCTACAAAAAAATTCAGGGTGGACTACAAAGGCGGGAGAAAAAAATATAAAAAGACAAAAAATCATCCACAAAAATTAGAACAGAGTAAGCGTTCGAGACGAGGCGGCTATCCTGTGTCCACCGTGCGGCCAGCTTTCCAGATCTATCAGATTGTTAGCCCCTTATCTTTCCCTGGAGATCAGCCTGTCTGGCCCCTGGCCCCTAGTCCCCAGGAGGTCAGGCTACATCAATACCTAGGCAGCCTTTGTTCTTGTGCTGACTCTCTGCTTCACTGCTCTGACTAACAGGCCATTGGCTACCGGCCTTCAGCACAGCAAAGCGCCTCTCTCTTCGCAGTCAATAAAGACGGTGACACAGACGACTCTGTTCCTTGTTGGTGGTTGTGTGGTAGATGATTACGGGTGGAGTGGGAGTCCCTTCATTTGTGTATATATTTGCAAAAGCACCAAAGTAAATAAAAGAGCCGTAATTATAAATTGCATGTGACAGACTGACTCAGTCTGCTGATTAATGATCGAGGTGCTTCCTTTGGTTAACAAATATCGATGCTTCATACACTATAGTACAATTTTAAATATATATCAGTCTCCTTGGTACACCCAAAGTTTTCTCAATCATGTGTCAGCAACTTAATTTTAATATCATACACTTTTACAAGAAATATTAAATTTTGTTTTTGAATATTTCACAAAGAATTAGTAGTTATAGGTTTGTTTTCTCTCAGCTCTTCATCCATAAAGACGAGATTTGTTTATGAAATGTCCAGCAGACCATTAGCATAGCTAGCAGTTTGCTGTTTGTTGGGTCTAATGTATACTTATGAGGACGTAGTCGGCACTTTCTTTTTTGTCCATCACATACAGATAAGATTATTGCATTTTTGTAACAGGAAAGGGTTTTACAGACTTGACTTCAAAGATTGTATGGAAAGGAGAGGTTTGCTTAATGAAGGCTCAACTCTTTCTCAGGGCTCGCAAAATCGCCGTGAAAACCCGTGACTTCAGTGGAAATTTCACATTCAGGATCTGACACAGACTGATTCATGTCCTACACAGTTCTTACAAGTTCATAGAAATTTCTGTTCAATTAGAACCAAGTATTTGAGTTGATGATTGTAATTTTTATACAATGTTGTAATTTGTTTTTCAACAATTTTTTGATTAATGTTTTGTTTCCGTTACAATATTATACTTTAATGTATAACATTGTAGCGGAAACAAAACAGGAAACAAAACATCAATCAAAAAATTGCTCTCTTTTTTATTCGGGCTACTTAAATTTATTTTGGGCTACCAAAAACTGAAGAGTCCCTGCCCGAAGGGCTACCAGGGAGTTTGAAATTTTGCGAGCCCTGTTTCTGAAGTAGCCAATAAATTAAAAAAGAAAGAAGTCAAAGAATCCATACTGGGAGTCAGAGAACATATAGTACATTTTCCTAAATTTCCCGCTGACCCGTCCTTTTCCATTCCTCTGATGGTCGTGGGGTGATGGCGCCGTGCCACTTGCTCATTTGCTGATGTGTCTTTAAATCCATCAACAACAGAACATATTCACTGTGGATCTAACTATACAATGAGACTCCTTTCTTGAGTGCAATGTGATACGTTTGCACTTAAAAAATTTGCTCTCTGTGAAATTGCATTGACATTCTGTCTCTTAAAAGCCACTAATGACCACTATAGAAGCAGCAGAAGGCCGAGTGGTTGGCTAGCTGGATGCTATGATGAGTAGATACTACAGTAACTGCTAGTGTCAGTCTGGCTCCTGACATACACACTAACAAACACGTGCAAAAGGGTTGTGTCTTTGCCTGACCCATGGGGATGACCACTAGCTCTCCATAATGGAGCCTGGCTGCGACACTGACCATTGAAAACCCCCACACCCACCCACTGGAAACCCGATCCAGCCAGTCCAACAACTGCTTTAGAACATCAATAATTAATTAGGGAACAGCTATTGGCCCCAAGGGTCAGAGAGCAGGGAGAGAGAGAGTGAAGGAGAACAAGAGAGCGAGGGACAGCCAAGTAGGAGAGTGAATGCACCGGGAGGAAATAGGGGAGTTGTGATTTTGTTTAATAAGTAACACAACGCAGGCTTTGTTCAGCTCTCCTCCATTAAAAGGACACGAGAAACCTTCTCTCCCTGTTTCTCCCTC